AAGCAGTGGTATCAACGCAGAGTACTCTGATAAGAAATGTACAGCAGGGTAGGCAATGTCGACCTAGGAAGAACCCATCAGCTTGATCGACATGAGCTTAAGGAATAACTTGGATAACCAAGACCGAATATCTACAGCTAGCGTTGAACTTCTGATACTCGGATCGCGCTCAGAACTTGTTCCATAATATTCTTAACACCGAACGATTAAGCCAAGGCTGCTGAGACACTGTCTTTAAGTTTTTGTAGAAATGGATTTGTGGTATCATAGCAGATCTCAACTGACTAACTCAGCTTGGGGGTCTTTATTAGTGTGGTACGAATAGCATGTTAGCATTGAAAGTGCGATGTCAAAAGCTCCGCTCCATACTTGATCACATGCTACCCGATTCAATACAAATTTGAAATTTATACATTTTACAATTTTATTAATACCACCTTGATCACAAAGTATCGTCAGCAATTCGAAACATCTGTTCAACCACAACAATTTTGCAGTTGACTAAAAAAATCTGAAGTACAGGCTACCTACAAGTCTGCGCTGGAATCGCCAAAATTTACAAAGGCGCTCATAATTATGATCTGCCTTGCTGACATGTTACTCGAGAAGTCGTTGAGCACAAGTTCTAATTATCGTCGTGCGCGTGAAGCTATGAAGGAAGACAACAAGCTCATGGATCTGAGATCTTAAAGGCAGTGTCTCACCTAATTTTAGTTGCCGAGATTTTTACATTTTGCAAGTCTGTCGAACCCTGTCTAGCACTGCTTGGGCTTAAAATCGCACGAAGTTCCCAAAAACCCCGTTTTCTGGAGGCCCCGCGAAGCAACATGGACGAGTTATGTTTTCCAACTTCAGCCTCAGCCCAATGGCAACAACAGAGGCGGGGGGGGGGGGGGTGGATGCCAGGTGGAGGGACATGTTCAAACGCGTAAGGGAGGAGACCGAAGGAGTCGTCCGCGCGTACCAAGCAGGGTCAAGCGTGTGATGCAACTGTTACCTACGGTGGGGGGAGGTCCTAAAAGGAAATAGTTTGGATTGAGAATTCGTAAGCATGGAAGGAAATCAGAAGGCAAATAATTATTACATGTTCTTAACAATAAATTCATGGAATGCCGTGTCCAATGTATCAAATGAAACGTGAACAGTAATTTGAAAACATTGCAAACGTAGAAATTCGCTTCATTTGCTGCCCTTTTGAAAGATTATGACTTACAAGGGAATGGTCAGAAATCGAAGTGGCCATTCTAGACAAGCTGCGTAGCGTTAGATGCAGCATGAAGCGCTGACTCTGCATCTGTCTTCTTTATCTGCTTATCGCTTTTCTGGACGAAGTTATAAGCCATTAGCGACCATTATTTTGCTTGGAAATTATGCGTGAAATTAAAAATTTAGCCGTACAAAGCCTCGTTCGCCTCAATACTGTGCCAAAACATGCAGCTAGCTTACTTAAAATTTTTGAAGCCAGAAGCCGTGCTAAATGTGCAACAATGTGCTCAATTTCGCTGTTTTTATGTATGATTTTTTTCACAATAAAACCGCTTGTAGCTTCGTCCACAGAAGCGGGAAGCAGGTAAGGAAGACAGGTTCGAAGTCAGCGTTTTATACTGCATCGAATGATATACAGCTTGTTTGGTTTGGCCACTTCGACTTCTGACCATTCCCTTGTTAGCTCATTTTTTTCTGTGGGAATCACTATTTCTCCCGCAAAATATTGTCGCAAACGGGGATCGAACCCTGCTGGCATGACTAAAATTAAAAACTAAGCCTTTTGGAAGCTCAAGTGATACTAAAGATGATAAAGATAAAGATGATAAAGATGTTGGATGTACCGATTGATGTAGACATCCTGCTTCCGAAGGCTCACTGAAGACTCGCACGCTCGACAAAAGCGCATATCTCTATCAACGCTAATTATCAATAATTTGTAAATCTGTTTGTAATGCTTTCCATACGTCCTTACAATTTATGTGTGCTTAGGAGGTGCTTTACTACACTTGTGCAAAATTTGGTCCTACTTTATGGCCTTCGGATTTTCTTATGATTTCATGTATGTGGCAAAAATGACAAAAGGGGGGGGGGGGGTCGTATCCGGGTCGCATCTAAACTTTTCCGAAGCTATTAAAGCTTGTTGGCTGCAATTTTGCTATAATACGAGGCCATCCTCCTGCTTTCTATCCTAAAAATTTTAGGCCGTTTTATTACTTCTCCGATGAGTTACAAAATTTTAAGCTCAAAAATCCCAGTTTTTGCTTTTTAGGATCGCATCTAAATTTGCGAGATCGCATCTAAATTTTCGAGTTTACTGCTCCTCAAAAGCTGAAACTTTTTCTTTGAATAGTTTGGGCACCATTCTACAGAATCTGTGCTTTGCAGCCTCTCGATCTTTTCCTGGCCTTAGTTACGAATTTTCAAACTACCGTGCTCATGCACGTTTTTGACATCGTTCTGGACGGCGCTAAAGCGGTTTTTTTTCGCGGGAGAAAACTGTGGAAGAGGTAGGAAGTAAGCTTCTTAGTCGAAAAATTTTTATAGTTCAAAAATGTCATTTTTTCTCCGTACAAAAATTTGTATCGCATATGGGAATCGAATTTGCTGGTCTGAAGTATGTCTGTAAATTCAAAAAAAAATTGCAGAATCTCAAACATTATTGAAGGTGTGTATGTGTGCTAGAGATGCTGGGCGCACCCATTGGCCTAGAAAGTGTGCTTCCGAAACCTCACTGAAGTTCCACGCTGATGTTTTTTTGAGACTGACATTCGTTTATGCAGGTTACCGCGAGGAGTGTGGGCAGGAGAACTAAGGGGGTAGATGGGGAGGGGGAGTAGATGGGCGGGGGTCGTACGGATGGGTACCCTCAGGGGGGGGGTCGTAAATGGGGGTCTCGGATCGCATCGACACGCTTGACCCTGGTACCAAGTCGCTCTCCGCGTCCCACTTTGAGCGAATTTTTCTCATCGTGGAAGGGGTCAAATTGAGTGGGACTTGTTGCAATGGCCTACTTAGAGGTCTCTATAATAGAATATGTGAAGATCCGCGCGACCTCAACTTTGGTGAGACACTCCTTTAACGAACTTAGTAAAAGTAAAGCTGTTCTCAGTTTTACAAAAACAAAGCCGGTATACTGGGATGGCGTGAAATTGCGCACATTACCATAAAACAAACCCGCATTTCTCGCTTCATAGCTGACGTCAACATGTAAAAAACGTGAGTCATCAATAAATCTACGAAAAGGGAGGGATCATGCAGACTGCACATCTAGTGGCCCCATTGGGAGCGGAAGCCATCCTTAACGCTTTTTGTCATCTTCCTAAACTTCGATCATGTTAACGAAAAAAGAGGATCTTGATTACTTTTGCAGGTTCATCTAATCAATCCAAGAACAGAAAAACAAAAAAAACCTGATGATTACGCCAATATTTTGAGGTCGATTCAAAGGGGGGCAAAAAAAGTACTGTATCTCATAAAGATAGAAAAATTGGGTAATCATCAGGTTTTTTTGTTTTTCTGTTCTTGGATTGATTAGGTAAACCTTCAAAAGTAATCAAGATCCTCTTCTTTCGTTAACGTTATGATCGAAGTCTACGAAGATTGCAAAAGGCGTTAAGGATGACTTTCGCTCCCGATGGGGCCACTCGATGTGCAATTTGCATGATCCCTCCCTTTTCGTACATTTCTTGATGACTCACCTCTTTTACATGTTGACGTCAGCTATGGAGCGAGAAATGCAGGGGCTGTTTTATGGTAATGTGCGTGATTTCACCCCATTCCAGTATAGGCTTTGTTTTTGTAAAAATAAGAACAGCTTTACTACTAAGTTCGTTAAGATCTTAGGTCCATGAGCATGTTGTCTTCCTTCATAGCTTCACGCGCACGACGATAATTAGAACTTGTGCTCAACGACTTCTCGAGTAACATGTCAGCAAGGCAGATCATAATTATGAGCGCCTTTGTAAATTTTGGCGATTCCAGCGCAGACTTGTAGGTAGCCTGTACTTCAGATTTTTTTAGTCAACTGCAAAATTGTTGTGGTTGAACAGATGTTTCAAATTGCTGACGATACTTTGTGATCAAGGTGGTATTAATAAAATTGTAAAATGTATAAATTTCAAATTTGTATTGAATCGGGTAGCATGTGATCAAGTATGGAGCGGAGCTTTTGACATCGCACTTTCAATGCTAACATGCTATTCGTACCACACTAATAAAGACCCCCAAGCTGAGTTAGTCAGTTGAGATCTGCTATGATACCACAAATCCATTTCTACAAAAACTTAAAGACAGTGTCTCAGCAGCCTTGGCTTAATCGTTCGGTGTTAAGAATATTATGGAACAAGTTCTGAGCGCGATCCGAGTATCAGAAGTTCAACGCTAGCTGTAGATATTCGGTCTTGGTTATCCAAGTTATTCCTTAAGCTCATGTCGATCAAGCTGATGGGTTCTTCCTAGGTCGACATTGCCTACCCTGCTGTACATTTCTTATCAGAAGAGGTTGATATTGCCTAAGGTCTCTACGAGCAGTGGTGATGTTGCGTCAAGGTCTTTTTCCCTTTAATAATGATGACTTCACACTGATAAATAACCCCTGATCGGTAAAATTTATTGAGCAGACTAGCTACGGAATGACCAAAGGAAGGCATTTTACGCATGCGGGCGCTCCATTCGTGTAAGGTAAGCTTGGCATTCAGCGTTGAACACAGTACCAAAATTCTTCCATGCCTCTTTTTGTTCTGCAGTCAAAGCTGGTCCTTTGCTTTCTAGGAATCCTACCCAGTAATCCCAGAATGGCTAAAAAAGAGCGGTTTGGAACAGCTTTAATTGAGCTAGGAAAATAGTTGAAGAATTTAATGTAGACGTTACCTTCCAAAGTGCAGGATCAATTGATCTATCGAAATGCTCATACATGACTCTGCGCACAAATGATCGATACACCGATTCCTGAAAAACTTTAAAGTGTTCGAAAATAACTGAACAGAAAATCTCTATACCTACATTTTCACAGACATTAGCCAGGACGTGCACGAACAAGAGTATAGCGTCTCCCAATTTGTCAAATCTGCAAAAAGTACGTATGCTCAGGAAGGGCAAACCTTCATTAATACCTCTCGCTCTTTTCCACATCATCACCAGTGTAGTTCTCAGCACCTTTGTAGAAGTGACGATGTTCAGGATGAGAGGTGAAGAAACTAAAAGCAACGCTTCTTTCGCAAAACAGACCTGCTCATAACGAACTATTTGTAGAAATCTCTTCCGTGATGGCCATCACCAAGTGGAGCCACCTTGAGAGATTCGACGGTGTGCCTTCTGACGTCAGCGGGCTTCCTTAATGAGCAATAATGACATAATGCGTATAACGCATTAGAAATGGAAACAAAACATGTGCGGAGATGAGCTGTGACTGTACGGAATTTAGAGGAGTAGGAGAGGCAAGAAAATGTCACCTACTCCCCTGTCATACATGAAAGTAGCATTTTTTAAGCATTTAATTTTTTCAATTTAAAGAAAAAAGTACCAACCCACAATACAATTTATATTACCTACCCAAACTGCAAACAGAGCATTTTAATGTGCACAACTGAAAATTTTCAGAGATCAAGAACTTACATCACGCACAGCAAGCAAGTGGTGCTGAAAAAAAGTAGGTAGAAGCTTTTAAACGTCTATCTCCAGCAGCACGGACGAAAATTCTAGATTAAGCTGATGTTTGGGAATTCAAGAGTCAGAATGACAACAATTCGAATTTCTTTTGTGCGATGTTCGTGATTCATATGTCTTTCTTGGATGTTCAGTGGTCAGCAAAGACAGAGTTAAGATGCGTCTGGGTGGATGTCTATCAGCTAGAAATGCCATTTTCACATATCAGGAGTCCCAGTCCCGAAAAATGACAAAAGAACGTTGCTCTACTACAAGCAAGTCAGTAGCTAGAAATTACTTTTATCTGAATATGCGCACTTGTGAGAAACCCTTGATATGCATCTTTTCCATACTTCAACAACTATTGACAACGGTATTTGTCAGGAATTGTTTGCAACGTCCATACAAATGTACGAGATTAGGCCACTTAAAGGTTCTGCTCAACACAACAGCATCTATAGGAACAGAGGAGGAAAGCAAGTTTTCAGATTTGTAGAGGTGTTTGTTTGATTTTAAAGGCAGAAAATGCTTCCACATGTTGAATCTGCTTCAGCACCATATTTATAGCTTAACAAGAGCGCATATATGATGGGGTGCACGCTCCAGACGGATAATCTCTAACTGCTGTAAAATCCGCTTCCTGCTAATTTCTGCGTAGGACGTGACAACTGCACAGAGTTGGAAACTTTGCTAGAATATTGCAGATTTTAAAAAGAAGGAAGAGCTTGGCAAAAATGAGGTTTATGATTCAACTACAGCGATATCTGGATCGGTAATATATCGCTTACGGGATCAGACATAAATGTGTAGATAGTTTCGCTAAAAGATACAACAGAGTACCTCTTTGCTCAGTTTGGTGCAAAAACTTACTCAAGTGTGGTTCTCTTTTATATTGTAAGGAACTTAGTATAACTCAATTAGCTTGCTTTATAGCCTTAAGGCTCTTATCGCTGGACTATTATTAAGGAATGTATTCTGCCCCATCGTTTGCTACTGATGTTTGATCATTGTAAAGCTCGCAAACTCCTCATTAAGGATAAATGTCCTTGATAGCAGCTTTTTTCTGAAAGGGTTGAAAAAAGATTGTTTTAGGTATGTTCAATGGTTTTTAGAGCAAAATCGGTAAACGGTACTTCAATAATTGAGCTTGCTAAACGAATATAAGCGACGCAGTTGAAGAAGCTGCAGCAATCCATTCCACTAAGATTTTTTTGTTACTAATCTAGGAATCTCCTCTCAAAAATAATTGTTTTGCAAGCGAACTACAAACTACAACAAGCAATCTTCGAATTTCTCACTTGCACACATCTTCAGCAACACTGATGGTTTAGTTTCATTATTACATTTGTTGTTGCAGTTCACTTGAAAACATATAATTTGAAAGTACTTGTTAATGGACGTAGAATTTTTGTAATATTGCTTGCAGAAGTTCTCATCTACCGGATAATGTAAGTTTATAAGTTTATTGAAATCTCTGCTGTCTTGCTTGAGCACTCGGTGAAATAAAATTGCTTAGAATAGACTCTTGATCTTTCCTGCTTACAATTCGTCTGAGATGCATGCTTTAATTATGCAAGCATCACTAAGTTACAACTAGTTTCGAACGAATGGATTTGCCGGAAGGAATCACCGATGACAAACGCTGCACCAACAAAATGCCTACGCCGAACGTCTTTTTCATGACAATCATTGCAACAAGATTTTTTCCGCTTTTTGTCCATGACTAACGTTGCAACAAAATTTCCAACAAAAACGTCTGCTTACGGTGAACGCTTTTTTCAATGACAGCACGCTATACAACTTCGCAGTGCAGTCTCTCCCTCTGCTGCAACAGAGGAGTTCCCGTGATTAATCGCGCTTCGTTCCAGAGCTTATACACAAAATCAGTTACAAAACAGTTTGTAAACAGTTTTTTTCGCAGTTTTTCGTACTTTTTCTTATGATACATCATGCATTTGAGCGAGATCAGTACCTAATTTACGCTTGCTTGAATTTCATCATCGCACCTTTTCACCCACTCCGACTTTATTTATTTATTTATTTGATACGCACAAGGCGTGCCCAATACACAGAACGAAGCATCACACTAAACAAATAGGGACAAAAAAGGAACAAAAACAGGCAAACACCCCACTGAATCAGCTCAAGTCCAGCCCGCAAAATATTTTCTAGGGATAGAAAGGGAGTGAGCTTGTCTAGACTAATATGAAGTCATCACATGTATAGAGGTTCGATGGAGTCTGTCTCATGCCCCCTGCTTTTAGCAAAAATGCTCTTATTCAACATAAGCAAATGTATATGTTGGAAGCAGGTGTATTGGTAGTAATATTGGTAAAACCCGCCCAACCAACTTGCATTCAAGCTTGAAAGAAGCAGGCCTTTGGTTACAAGAAAATACCGAGCATTCTGAGTTTCTATTGTGATTTGGGCATACCAAGTCGAGTCACTTGCTTTTTCCACAACATTTATGAATGAGCGGCTGTGGAGAACTTGGTTTTCACGCTCAACATGCAATAGACTTCTTCAAATCTCATCAAAAGTTGTTTTTAAGCTTCAGACCTTTTCAGGCAACCAACCGAGGTCACTAAACATACTGTCGCATCACTCCGAGCAGCTCCTGTCGGAGATGGCCACCATGGAAGGGATTTCTACAAATAGTCAGAAATGAGAAATTGAAAGTGCACAAAATTCAGAATCAATTTTAGTTTCTTTGAAACCCACCCTGAACATCGTCACTTCTACAAGGGAGCTGAAAATTACAGTGGTAAAGATGTGTTAAAGAGCGAGAGGTTTGTGAGGAAAAGTTGAGTAAACTCTCACTCCTGTCTTTTTCTACAGATTTGACAAGCTGGGAGATGCCATACTGCTTTTCGTGCACGTTCTAGCCAACACTTATGAAAATGTAAGACCTATGCAGATTAGATGATTATTCAGATTATTCGTAGAACAATGTTTTTGCAGGAATCCGTTTTTCGCGCTTTTGTCCATAGAGTGATGATTGAGCATTTCACGAGAAACATTGATCCTAAACTCTGGAAGGTTAGGATACTATTAGTATTGTCAGTAATGTATCAAATTGAGCGTATTTTTCTTAGCCTTTCTGGGAGTTCTGGACCGGTTACTTGAACAGCAAGGGAGCAAATCTTTCTGCTGAACAGCAGACAGCGTGGGATATTTTGGGCACGAGATTCAACGAGGAAGCCCAATCATATCTGGCCAAAGTTGGACGCGACCACGCTTAGACTCAAATGTGATTTGATGCAGTGGACATCTGCTACGAAAGAATAAACTTATCAGCAATCTTTTCTCCAAACATGTGCACAGGGTATATCAACATAGGCTTTTATGAGTTTATTTGCTCATCCTCTGACTAGAGGGCCTTTCAGCAGCCAATCCAAGTAACCCAACAAAGAGTGAGAGTGTCCATGATGGTGTGAAAGCTGGTCGTAAAAGGTAGCTTGGAATTGATGTAGGCCTTCTTCGCGTTTTGTACCGTATTATTAGCACAGAAACCAAGAATTCAACACGTTGCTCAACCACGCTCTTCTCCAAACACTTTCTGTACTACACAGTTAAAACTAATCACTTCCTTTTCTTACTTTTTTCTCACTCACGTATTTGTAGCCCTTAAATAGTTTGTGCTATCAGACGTAAAGTGCTTCAAACCACCAGAAGTCTCTGAGAAGAAGGAGAAATGTTAAATTGGTGCAATAATGAGCGAGTTGCGAGTTCTCACTTTTAAGTGCTTATTTTCTAAGGCAATGAAGACCATTTCTCTTTGTCTGCATAGGACCAAGCCTACTGATTAATAAAAGTCTTTTAGCTAAAAACATTCGAGTGTTAACATCATCTTGAGCGAAAAACATAAAGGTTTTCTTAATTGCAGCGCGAGGACTTCCGAAGTGACTTTATCCCAGAACAGTCATCACTTTAACGAAAGCAACTATGAATTGCCGTGTGGGTCATATTGTCCCATGTGGAAGTTATCGTAATTTACATAAACACTCTTATGGAAATGGCCGTTTTGCAAGGCTGTTCACAAGTCTTTGTACCATGCTTACTTGAGACAGATGATCATACTGGCTGTAAAATGCTCAATGCATGCCTAATTTCAATCATCAATCATGTTGTCTTTTGTTGGAGTGTGGATTGCTTCCCGTACTATTCCCTGGGATAGCTTCAAATCTACTTTAAAGTTCAAATGCTTCCTATTCTCTTTTGTGCATAAATTGCGCAACCGGGAAAGAACAGAGCAGTTTGTTTTCAATTTCTTCTTCCAATCGCTAGCAATTCATATCCTTTACTGATGTTGCTTGTTTAGTAATGTGAAGAGGAGATTTTCTTAAGGATAGTGGGAGAAAATGATCATGTCTTAATAGGGGTCAGAGACTATCGTGAATTCTTTATAGATTTCCGCGTGTCTACGCATGTGTTTCCTATCAACCGAAATATTATATTCCAACATTCTGCAAGAAGTTACTATTCATTCAACAAGTCAGAGGACTTTGCCTGAGATTTTACCAGAAATTGTTTTGGCTTCCTGCCTGAGATTGCAGCACCCATCAAGAGTTATCTTTGGTCTTTCACGTTGTTTACCATTCTAAAACTATCATAACTAATCATTAGGTGATTGGCCGACTTTACGATTCGACTATGCTTTCAATATACGTTTGGTGATTCCGTGTTCTTAAATTTACCATTTTTCTTTCTTTAAGCACAAGGAACTTTGTTGATTTCTCTATAAGCAGAGCTATAAATAAATAAATTATATAATCAACGAATGTTGATTGAAATTCCTCGAAAAAGCTGATCGTTTTTATTCACTAATCCTATAGTTAGGAAGATTGCTAAGATTGCTTGTGACTCAAAAATATAACTATTTCAGCAAGATTCTTCGTTTTACTATCTTTAAAATGGCATTTCAGATGCGAATGAGAGTCAATAATAAATCTTATTCTTCTTGGTAGAACTTGTCGGTTCTTTGAAAGATGCTACGTTGCAGCCATGACCAACAAAAATTGAGTGTGGTCAGCATGTTGAGCATTTTCATTTAACAACACTTTATTTTCAACTGCTCGTCGTTGAAGACTGCTCTCTAGAACTACTTGAGTTTTCCCACCAGTAAATAAATTTTTTGAATTTGGTCAGTATGTTGACAAGCATTTTAATTTGAAATTGCTTGATTTTATAAAACCGCTTGTCATCAAATATTGCTCCTTGAAATTGCTGAAATTCATAAGCGAACAAGTTCACCCTTCTCCTTCCCCTCCCTCAGACATGAATTTGTACTAAATAAGTTGACATTGTTACCCAAGAACTATGAGTATCTGATGTTGAAGCGTTCACTTGTATTTCCTATTACAGCAGCTAAAATTCAAAGACGGTACGTCTTAGCCTAAAAGATGCTGTTCATATAAACAAATATTACAACAATCAAATTTATCTCATTTACAATCAATTTTTCAAGATTATATCTTTCGAAAGTGGTAAAGTGGTAAATGCTTTCTTGGCACAGCGAAGTAGCATAGCTCTAGGGTATATGTAAGTCACGTTTGGAACGCTTAAAGGAACTCTGACATATAATAATGCTTTAGTCTCTGGCGTATATTAATGGTCTAGTTCTCCATAGCTCAGATGGACATTAGTGCAAATTATTAGGGTGTCCCATAATTTTTCTCGGAAACTGGGGCACCTTCAAAGTTTACAAATATATGCTCGTACTTCTATATGCATGAGCTAAATGATAACGTGCGTAGCAGGAGCTCGGGATGTCTAGGCGCGGAGTTAGGCATCTTACCCCATTCATTTTTTCTTTGCTTCTAGCCATGAGCAAAATACGAAAATAATGCAATTAAATGTGTGCGATGCGTCAAGGGTAAATATTAGGTTGTCCCATAATTATTTACCGTTTTTACTTAGACGGTCGTCTTTTTGTATTTATCCTTCATCTGATGCGGCTTGAGTAAGCATTCGATAGGGCAAAGCAAGCTCTACAAGATGGCTATCAAGAGTCTGCGTAAGTCATAATCCACCTAAAGTTTTGAGCTGAAATATGGTAGTAGTCAAAAACGAACTTTTCTGTCAAAAATCGTATCTCCGTCCCAAAGTATCTAAACAATTCCAAATTTATTCCGGCATATGCTTGACACATCGCACATTCGATTGCGTACTTTTCGATTTTTTTCCATGGCTAGAAATAAAGAAAAAATGAATGAGGTAAAATGGCAAACTCCGCCCCTAGAAGTCCTGAGCTCCTCCCACACACATGATCATATGGCTCATACATACAGAAGTACGATCATGTATTTGAAAATTTTAAAGGTGCCTCAGTTTTCGAGAAATGCTGATGTTTAAGGAAACAGTAAATAATTTTGGGACACCCTAATGGGTTAGGATAAATAGGGAATTTTTAGGGCATTTTCGAACGGGGATACAATTTTTGAAGGAAAAGTTCGTTTGCTATCAGATTTCAGTTCAAAACTTCCGGTGAAATACGATTTGGGCGAATTCTTCATGGCCATTTTGTAAAGCTTGCTTTGCCCTGTCGAATAATTACTCAAGCCACATTAATTGAAAAAAAATACAAAGAGACGACGGCTGTAGTGAAAACGGTAAAAAATTATGGGACACTCTAATAGATGAATTAGCACTTCTCCAGAGGCCGAAATATATAATGACGCTGCAAAAACCTATGACCCCAAAATGGCCGTTGACCAGTGACATGCACATACGTTTATTTATTGGAGCTGATGTGCTTACACTCCCTTACACGACTCGTGCTTGGCACATGGTGTGTCCGAGGTGGAGAAAGTGCGCGGTAAACAATACCTATCTGGACGAAAAATTCACTCCAAATGCAGCCAACACGCTCTTTCTCGCAGATACATCTCTTCTTGTACTTTTCTTCCAAGTTCCGGTTCTCAGAGACTATTTCACTATTTCACTTAGCAAATCCTTCGCCACTTCTGCAAAAGTTCGTCTTTCGTTGACATCTCTTTATTTCGATGAAATTCTACGTCAATTGCAAAATATTTGACTGACATAACTTCTGTGATTTGGCATTTTTTACCATTTCTTATAGATTAGGGGGCATAGTCGGGTGTCATCTAGTTATCTTATCGCTCGCATAGTTTAATCACCTGATTACATGTAAAATCAGACGTCGAATAGGTTGAAGGGCAAATTTTACGGGAACAAAAAAAACCGAAAATCTTACTTCTGTTTCTATGTTTCTATTTCCACATATTACACATATACATTCTTCCATATTTTTTTCCATTTCTATCTCTTTTTCTTGCCATCAATTGAGATTTTGTGCAAATGTAAAAAGAAAGTGAAAGTATGACTCACACAGAGGAGGACACTTTCCAGGAGCACCGTTCTAACTTCAAAAACTTCTAGAATAATCTCATGTCTTGCACCACCGTGCAAATTTTTTGACATCAAACACCAGCTGCCAATGAGCACCCCAGCGTTGGCTCGCCTTTGAATGGAGCAACAATTCCTTTTTGCTGAAATCGTAAATTCCCGGAAATACCTCATGTAAAAGTATATATTATACTAAGGTCTACGTTCACCTAAAAAATTACTTCGTATGAATTCTACATAGAACAGCTTCATCATAACTGCCAGATCCCTTTTGACCATTTTTGAATTCACAGTAGCGAAATAATTGCAGCAAATATGCTTAAAAAATCTACTGGGTTGTCTGGAAAATAATGTCGCATCGTATTTTATCATGCAATACAGTTTTGACCTGTTCTTGTTTGTACTGTAGCCATGGGAAAATGCCACAAACTATAAAGGTGAATGTCTAATGTGGAGATTACATGCCTGTGCAAATTGGAGATTCCTAAGACGTCTACGGACGGAGATACGACTTTTCGGGTTTAATGTTTTATGTTTTGGATCGAACTTCAGGTGCAGCGAGATTTCCGCGAGGTTAGCTAAGTTCTTGTGGGGCTGCTCTATTGAATGATATCCTATTCCTTGGTTTTGTCTTCACTCTGTAGCGGTAGGATTCCATGCGACATTATTTTCTGGACAACCTAATTTGTCTAAAAGTCGCGCAATCATGACTTGTACGAAAATGTTCTACAGGCCGTATCTTTCTTTGAACAGGATTGCCTGAGTTGCAAGTAAAAACAGGATTGAAATTTGCGTAGTAGTCTGTTTGTTAAGAAAAATATCTGAAATAACCTGTAATTATTGTACTTGGGCTTGCTATGATACTGTTTTTCCTACTGCGTCATTACGCAGATTTCTAAATCATCTGAAAGTTAGTGCCAGGTACGAAAAAATATATAATTATGGTGATCTAGCTAGATGTTGAATCTCCTTCATCCTACGCAAAGCAGTTGGACGTTTGCTGTGATTTAGATCACAGGTGAGAGTAAAGTTAGGTCATGTTGCAGCGAACCTACATCTCTCGCAATTGCTCTATAATAATAATTCGGAGTACCAAATATCTCATGAGTTCATAGCAGACAGTGTTTGCACTTTCTTATCTATGCTTTTGTAATAAAGTCGTTAATAAGGTTTTTATGGCTTTCGTGTTGGCGCTGACTATTTGGTCATCTCAAACTCTTTTCGGTAGATGACGCTTTGGACACTAGCTTTATATTAGGTTGAACCGAAAGTTCTGTCCCTCCATTTTCAAAAATTCGTAACTTCGCCAGATTTCAACGGATTTGCTTGCTCGTAATTTTATTAGAAAGAATAGATCTTCCGCTTTCAAGCGCTGTTTTATGTAGCTTCTGCTTCGCACTGAGTGCCGAAATAAAAATGGAAAACTAAGACCATGTAAAGTTTGACCATTTTAAGTTAGGTCACCAAAAATCTGAAATGCTGCAGAAAAATCTGAAATCGTCAGTACATATGTTTTTTGGCCTACTCTTTGCAATTGTGAAGAGTTTGCGCTGTTTGGACGTTTCTGCGAGAAGTTATGATTTTCACGAAAATTGCCAAATTAATTAATTTTGGCGTTATCCATAGTAAACTCGATATTCATAACTTCTCACAGAGATGTCCAAACAACACAAACTTTTCACAGATGCAAAGGGTAGGCCAAAAAACATATGTACTGACGATTTCAGATTTTTCTGCAGCATTCCAGATTTTTGGTGACCTAACTTAAAATGGTCAAAGTTTACATGGTCTTAGTTTTCCATTTTTATCTCGGAACTCAGTGTGAAACAGAAGCTCCGCAAAACAGGGCTTGAAAGCGGAAGATCTATTCTTTCTAATAAAATTACGAGCAAGCAAATCCGTTGAAATCTGGCGAAGTTACGAATTTTTGAAAATGGAGGGACAGAACTTTCGGTTCAACCTAATAGAAACGAAGATTTTTTGATGATAGATAAACCTCAGCATTTTGTCTAGAAACATCAACTGCGAAACGCATGCATCTGCTATCTATGTATCATAAGTAAAGGAATTTTATCAATGAAATAAAAATTCGATTGTTTATTCAGTAACTTCAGTCTCAAATGCTATCGGGGTGTAACATAGAAAGCCTTTGATCTTACTGCCGGCTATCTAGAATTTGCGTCATATTACTTGGAGGCAACAAACTGACATTTTTAAAGCCAACAGCTACATCTTTCGCTCTTCACTTTCTGAGCTTCTAATTCGATGACTTGAAGGTATGAGATTGCGCGTAATAAGCGCGTAATAGCGCGTAATCACTCCAAAATGCGAAGGCACGAGGCACGCAATCTAGGCACTGGACCTTACGTAAAAACAGAGCGAAGCCCGGACCGGGCCCCTGTCCAAGAGGCAGTTCTGTGGTTCTTCCGTGATCGTGAAATTCAACTCCAAATACGGACCAGACTACTTCCGGGCTGATAAATTAGCGCCCAAGTAGAAAGTACGGTATGGGCTGGGGTTTAGAATCAGATTTCTGTACTGCGAATGAATCACTTGTGCTGCTTGAACTATAACCTTGGATAAGCCTTGGTAACCTAGGCATAACCCTCCCATCAATATCCGCATGAACCAAGTGCCAAGTCTCTGAACATTGTTGTCAAAGCATACGCATATATTCATCTTCCACAAATTTTGTTTAGGTTGCAAGAGCTTTGATGCAAGGTTACCCACAATATATTTTGTACAGAGAAATAGGTGCTGATTGTATGACGCAAAATGGTGACAGTAGTGTTAATAGTTCGTTTTTTTTAAATTTTCATCGTTAAGAAATTTTCTTCACATGTTATATAATAGCTTGCAAGCTTCCACAGAATTTCGAGAAACCGGCTGGCAGCGATACTATCTTAACCAAACAGATTGTGTGTCATAAGCCAATTTATCTGCTACATCACTGCATTGCCTACAATGCACTTTTTCGCACTTTTTTCGTGTTATTAGGGTCAGCCCAGTCATGCCCTTCCTTATCAGCTTTTACCACTGCGTCAAACTTCAGTAGTACTTTGCTACCGCAAGCATGTTGGCTGCTGTTTTTTCTTATACTACCAAAAAAATGAAATTTATTCGTAGCAGTTTGTGACTATAAAAGGAAAATTTTCCTATTGCGAAAAATAATGATTCATTTTTTTCAATCGCAATCGTACCAATCCTTACTGTCGGAAAATTTGCTTTCGCTATGTTATGGTATGGTAAAAAGGTCAATTTTACTTCCTAGCAGAAGTTCGAAATTGAAATTATTGAGTTAGGCCCAGAAAGATTTTGAAGGTATTGTTTGAGGTCCACAACTTCTCTCTTTCAGAAAAAAACAGATTGCTAATGAAAGCCTGCTGAGAAGTTGCAAACTAAAAGAAGTGTGGTTCAAATTTCATGTTTTAAAATTTCATTGAGTTGCTCGCAGTTCATGTATTGCATTTTCTTCTAGTCTTCAAGACTGTGTTTCACGAGCTCAATTCTTTCCATTTGCTTTCAGTAACACTTTTATCTTCAGAGGATGATGATGTATTACTATAGCATCTTTTTAAAAACCAATGATATTTGTCTGACAAAAACGAAAATAGGTAGAGGTTACATAACTTAGTTAGAATGCATGTTCAAGCGAGAACTTGATTACAACACTCGACCCTTTGGAAATGCAAGCCAATATGTATGTCTCCTTTTTGTTTTACTTGCATAACGGTTTTTAACAAAATAACAACCACGCAAGATGTCGTCTATGTCTATACTACTGATACGTCTCAACTTTGAAACTTTGCCTCTAAATTTTTGGGGAATTCTTTCAGTTATGCGGGTATGCATCGTAGGCGGTGGCGGCTTTCTGGGTTGTGAGTTAGCTGCTCGTCTCCAGTCAACTGGTGCTCATACGGTTCTATTAGATGTCAGTTTTCCAGAGCATACGAATATAAAACTAGATGAGAGATTAACAACTATTGTACAGGTGAGCCCTAGTATTATGATATACATAGCAAAACCTTTATCACTGATTTAGGGTTCAGTTCTGGATGAAGAGAAGGTGTGCGAAGCATTGCGAGGATGCGAGTCATGTTTTCACATAGCAGCTTATGGCATGTCTGGAATTCAAGCTGTAAGTTGATCTATATTATTTATTCAACCCAAGAATTGTCTCTACAATCGTCATGGTGATATAACTCATAAAATCGGATACATTCACTTTCTTCATTTTTGGTGCAAGATGAACGATAGCAATTGCCAACCGTCACTGCCAAAGCATGGCGATGCACTATTTTCCCAAAAGTCTCAAAACTCAGATTTAGTAAAGATTTATAAAGTGTAATAAATGCCCTAACTAATAAAGTTCTGCTCAGACGACGCCAACTAAGTGATTTTGGTGCTACTCGAAGTTCATGAGACCCTCTTGTGATGTTTTGAAATTATTTCCACATCCCACAAGCAAACAATTCCATACAGCTTCTCAGTCTGACTGAAGGCATAGAAGAAAAAATTGAATTTTTATTAAGAACAGCGATTTATAGCCTGAGAACGTCCTTGTCAAATAGTGTTTTGAATCAGAGCAGTGAAATAAAATCATGCAAACAACAGAATATAGATTCGTCACAAAACCTTACTAGCTACTGAACTTGAATCACCATCATATCCCAACTATTCGATCTTTCTATATAGCAATTGCTATAATTTTCTTATTAGAACATTTCTCCAATTTGGAAAATCGCTTGAGAACTCCCTGGAAGTTATGAGAATTGCCAAAATCATTACTGAATTTTTCAGTTCAACCGCGACCTCATTTTCCGAATCAATGTTGATGGAACACTGTTGCTTATGAGTTGCTGCAAACGTTTCGGTATATCGCGTTTCGTATACACATCAAGTGTGGGTGTCATTTTTGTTGGCAAGGAGCTCGTCAATGCTAGCGAGACCTATCCCTATCCCAAGGAATCAGAGGTACTTCAAAGAACTTCCTGCTTGGAGAAATTGATAAAAGTCTTGCAGTATTTTTCTTGGTACAGTGCATCAAAAGCTCGAGCAGAAAAGCTCGTTTTGGCCTCGAATTGTGCAGAATTGCGGACTTGTGCACTAAGGTTAAGAGGCATTTTTGGGCCAGGGGAACCGAGGTCTACTGACAGAGCTGCTGTAAGTTTTGCCTTCGAAACAATGGTTGGATAAATGTGGGTTCTTGGTGTAAACACTAATCCGAAGACTGACTAGAAACAGTTCAAGGGCAGCTTACACGACTCATTGGTGGCTAAAGATTCAACTGTGAACTTTGAGTCAAACGGTATATCCGAGTTCCCGGATTCAGTGTAGACAACACGGTCTGGGCGAGCGTTTATAGTTGATTTTCCCCGTAACGAATGAGTTATATGATCTGCGCCTTGGACATTTTTTTTACTTAGGACAGTCAGCTTCCACATAAGAAACGCAGGAGCACATAGTATGAGGAATTCTACTATTTGGTGGTTTAGGACATGATCCACAAAGGATTCTTTATTGCGACTTTTGCTGAGAAAGGCAAAGCTCTGACTCAGTACAGCGGAATCTACAATGTCACACAAGCCATGTACAAAGCCGATATGGAACTGGCCAAGCCACGTCCAAGATGTGCAGGAAAGGTGGGAGAATGCCCAGACCTCAACCTCGAATGACCGCCTAATTTATAGGTCTATCACATAGTTGATGACGAACCTGTCGATTCTTTTATGTTCTGGGCTCCGCTTATAAAGGCCCTGTCACAATCGCCGCCTTTTTTGAGGCTACCATTTCCACTTATATATTTCTTCGCCTATCTTACCGAGTGCCTGGCTGTCTGGTTTGGAATACCGCCATTGCTGAATAGGTACTCTTTTGTCACCCTTTCGTATGGTTTCAAATATGTAGTAGGCAACATCTCCTACATAATTGCAATTTTTCATCTCAAATGCTGTATCCTAGCGGATCTTCGATCTGTTTCTATATCTTTTGGGCTTTCTAGAGATGTTGACTTCGAAATAATCTTCATAGTTTACAAATTTTCAATTTTTGGGGCAAGCGACCATTTCAATAATTTCTCATCCTCTTTAGTTCTGTAGAATAAACTCCAAATCTTGCAACAACATGGAGGTCGAAGTATATGGCGGCTTCCACTTACTTAAGTCTGGCTTTCCCATGAGATACCAAAAAAAGAATTCTGGGTTCATCTTAAACGTGCATAGCACTTGATTAAGCGTGAAATAGTGAAGCGCAGCCTTGGGGGAAGGCAGAGGGAGGAGGGGACATGTTTTTCTCCATATAATGAGAAATGGTTTGCAGAGTTGATTCGCATTTCAAGTGACTGTGTACCTTGAATCTTAAAGTTATTCCTGAATATGAACTTCGATTGAGATCACCCAAAAAGCTCGCGGTTTAATACCTCCGACTTGGGTGGCGAGCAAGAGGAATGATAGCTGGCGGGTGTCAATAACTCGCGCATCTTTCACCTTCATTTTCGTCCATCAGCACGCAGAGATTCAAAGCATTTCCTTTTATTATGCTTTTAGCTGAACAGGAGAATTAGATAGGTCCTGTTTGCTCGAAAATGAGGTGTGAAAATAAGCTAGAAATATCAGAAAAGCGTTTCAAGGGTAAAACTACAAGCATTTTAAGTTTCTTCCTGCGATAGCACTACTAACTTACACTTATCACTGGACATTGAGCAGAACATTTTGAGTAGAGCATTTATTTCAATTCTACTCATTCTCGTAAGTCTGAAATGAGCGCTTTTTTAGACAGATAGTGCATTGGCAGCAGCGGCTGGCAATTGCTATCGTTCCTTTTGCACCATACCCCTCCGACTTTGAACAACGAGATATACAATCAGTAAATTTGCAAGCTGCGTTTAGTCCTGCCATACCATCCTTTGGTGTATCCAAAACATCGAGTAAATTCTATTGAGCTAAGGGAAGAGAGTAGCTAAGAGTAGTTTGGCTATGAGGACCTAAAAAACTTTCGTTCCAAGTCGCTGTCTGGAACTATGGTGCGTTCCAAACAGCGACTTGGAACGAAAGTTTTTTTTAGATTGGAGTTAGTAATTCAAAAAATGCTAATTAAGCGGGAAACACCCAAAAAATCCCAAAAGGGTATTTTCTCACAGTATGTTGATTTTCAGGCTTGAGGTGGCTCTTATCGGTGTGACGAATACTTACTCGATTGAAGCCGCAAGAAAGGATCTCGACTATAAACCCACAAATAATCATGACTTGACTGAGGTGAGCTTCAGTATTGATTGTACGCAAAAAAAACGGACTTCTGAAAATTCTTTTCTCTCTGTAAATGTATGGCGTTCATGTGAAAGGAAAAATTTTCAGGTAGTGGACTATTATAAGAAGCTCTACCAAAGCCAAGGCTCCAGATTCAGCGTGCGCTTTATGATAAAAGCTCTTTGTATAGTTGCTATATTCTTATTTCTCCTTTTCCGCTTCCTTTTGTGATGTCCATTACCTTGTTTGATAAGAACGAGGTCAGAAAAGTGAAGGGTAACTTTTTTGCTCATTTCATTTGTGTATATTCGCCATGTTATTCATCATGTCAATGAACCCGTGTGCCTGAATCTGCAACTTAACTTATTATACGCCACTGTCTGCATTGGGCGACATAAATATTTGGTAATCTGATTATAAAGCAACAGCAATTAGAAGAATTGATTCGTTTTGTTGATCATCAATTGATTTGCATGTTTTTTTTAACTGATAAAATCAGCACAGTACGATGATGACGCGCCATTAAATATTGCATATAATTTCATGTGACTAGCGTGGCCATATCTCGTTTTAGAGTGGACGTATTCTGAATCCAAGGGCAACATTCGACTCAGCTCGGCTCGGCGCCTCTTATACAGGATGTCCGTAAAGTATGTATACACTGTTTGATCGTTAATATCTTTCTTCCCAACAAGTCTTTTGCCTTGCTTCAGGTAAATCTTGTAGAGCTGGTTTCAACTAAGATTTACAGTATGGAACGAATCACCCATTTTTCTTCATTATTATAGGATTACGGTAGAAACTTCAAAGAGGGTTTTGAGCCATGAAAGGCCATATTTTGCCTCAGAAAGGAAACAAAACAGCCTGAAAAATTTTACACTAGGCTAATTAGAGTTGTAGATTCTAATTGCAAAGCTCCCAGCTTATTATGATGCTTCATTGAAGAGTCATGCCAGGTAAGAGGTAGCGGTCATTTTTCAATATTCCTAAAAAGTGCGGTTACACCGTTTAGAAAGCTTCGCAATTTCGTGAATAGTTGAGTATTGAAATTAGCGTCCATAAAAACCCTATTACACAAGTTTTCACAATTTTTTGAAAAAATTACGGCAGCTTTTTCCACATTGACACCATATATTTCAATTTCCTACCGTAATCCTACGGTAATGAAGAGCAATCGGTGATTCGCTCCATACTGTAAATCTAAGTTGAGCCAGCTCTACAAAATGGTACCTGAGGCAAGGCAAAAGACTTGTTAGGAAGAAAGATATCAACGGTCAAAGAGTGTATACATACTTTACGGACACCCTGTATATAAAAGTGCCCTCTTGGACACAGTAGCCACATGTCATGAATCATTTCCGGAATTTGCTGACGGGAGGTTGCCGAGTGCAACGAATAAGCGCACTGAGTAACTTAACTTAAGCAAAAATCTGGAACGATTCTTCAAATTTGGCCTCCTACCGTGTCCGAACATGCACTTCAGCAGATGCGTTGCGCCGAGCGAGTCGAATGGTGCCCTGAACTGGGAATTCGTCCACTTTAAAACGAAATATGGCCACGCTACGGTGATGTCACATGAATCGGGCAAATGTGCGTCGTCTTTTCAAAATATACGAACAATATCGTAGGTGTATATCCATTGATTGGGACCTGGGAACAAAGCAATTTCCACTATTTTGATATCAACGCAGCAACCACAAGACTGTCAATCCTGCTGCATCTAGCGCATTCAGACTTGACTGCACGCTACCTTGGACTGCAGTGTAACTATAGAGTTGTAATCATTTTGGCGGAATAAACTCCTTACCCCACTAAAATTCATTTTAGGCTATGGCAGAATTCCTTCTTCATGAACAGATGCGTCTTCATTTAACTCTGTTGGATGAAAGGGCGTCATTAGATAGGGGCAGAGCCTTATCTCTACTCATATTAGGGATTGAATAAGTCTTAATTAGCGTTACTGACAGTTCGTGGCCCCCATAATTGAGTGGGAAGTTTCTAAGTGGTTAGCCTCCAGAATCTGGAGAATAATGATTACTAATTACAAAAGGGCAGGGATGTCTACCTACAGTTCAAATTTAGCAAACTCACTAACAAATACTTAGAGTAAACTCAAAAATTCGAAATTCAGAATCGTTCAACACATTCGCTACATTGCAATCTATCGTGGATCTTATCTCTATCGCCATTTTGGACTAAAGAGCCACTGATGAGTGCGTGTTTTTCAAAGGTTCAACTTAGCCAGCTTAGTGTGGTTTCCATGAAATTTAGCAGCATGTGGTGGTATTCACAGAAATCTCGGTCAGCTTGATCAAAATATCTCTTTTTCAATACGGATCTAAAGCGGAAAGATATTGGTCCTAAATGGCAGAAAATGAAGAAGCTTGGGTGGCCTGAATGTGTTCAAAAATCTGCTGCTTGGGGAATACGTAGTTTAACAAGATATAATACCAAACAAAGCGACATAGTATCAGGTTGTCCCATAATTTCCGTCGCTTCTCACTTTTCATTCCAGCAATTCCTATACTTCTTGATTATCATAGCAAAACTTTAGAATATTAACATTAAGACCTTTCGATAGAGCAAAGCAAGATCTACAGAGTGGCTTTCAAACATCTGCACAGAATTCATTCCGCATCAAGTTGATTCTCGTAATCCAAAACTTTCAAAAGCTCGAAAACTCGAAAAAAATCAAAGCGCCTTGATTTTAGAAGATTCTAACTTGTTCATGCATATACACTCCTCAACAAACATTCATACACCCTTACTGTGCTTTTCCATTGCCAGAAAGTGACAAACGAGATGGTATTTTTTAAAGCGATGCTAAGTTGCTCTTACATAGGTAATTCTATACAATAAATCTTTAGAAGAACAACTACAAATTTTTAGCCTTTCACGAGCAATATATTTCAAAAAATTTCAAATTTAGCCTAAAAATCCATGATAAGCAACATACTCGTATTTTTGGCCTCTCTTTCTCATACTTAGCACTGTAAAAAAACGCGAAGGTGCGAAAATATTAGATGAAGACTTATATATCAACAAGTCAGAATCCTAGAAGTTTTTGAGCAGAGTTCAGAATTTTGCGAGTTTTCGGACTCTTGAAGGTTTTTAATGTTTAGCTCAATATGAAACTGACTTTGCGTTCCTGGATGCCGCCTCATAAGACTCGCTTGCTCTATCAAAAGGTATCCTAGAACTTTAGTAGGATCCAAGAAAAAGGGGAGTGGGATGAAAAGTGGAAACGGAACTTGTGGGACAACCCAATGGTATTTGGTCTTTTTTCTATGATGAACTGACTTTTTGTTTCCCTCATGCTCGCTAAATGCACATACTCGAATATAACCATCGCTATGTTGACATACCAAGCAACAAGTACGCGCTGACGTGATCGACGGTCATCGGATGAGTGTTGTCGCGTACGAAGAGTCATTTCCTTTGATACCACAATTTGAAGTACTGTGCAAGAGTGGTACGTGGCTGAACTAAACTATTTGTATTTTCAAACACTCACCACATTATGCTGCGGCTCTGTATCCTACTAAATTCTGCTGGTAAGGATTTGAAGTAAAATCACCGTAACGTTTCTTTTCAGAAAGAAATGAGCATTATAATATTAGGTCGTTCCGAAAGTAATGTCGCTTTTATCATGTGTACGCCACATCTCGTGGAACGAAGATTTGTAAGAGATCTTGGTAGCAGTCGCTGCAGCATTTCATTCTCTTTGTAATGACTCTAGGACCTTTGTAAGATATGCAATAACCTTTTGAAAAATAACCAAAATCTGTGAACCATGCTTTTTGAGAAGGTCAAGTTTCAAATTTTTCTAATTTTCGTAACAATACTCGGAAGGAGTCCAGTAAATGAATGGATAGAGCAAATCGTTAACCAAATATGGAATTTGGTAGCTTAAAAAATTGATTTCAGAGTTTCTAAGAAGCAAGCTAAGGAAAAGAAAAAATTGTTTTTGTCCTATAGGATTTGCCCTACCTAGCCGTTACTTGTACTTCTTTGGGTAATTAGTACAAAGATTTATAGAAATAGCCGAACTTGATCGTGGCAAAAAGCATGAATCGCAGATTTTGGTAATTTTTCGAGAGCTCATTGAATATTACGCAGTGAAATTACAACCATTAGAAAGAGGATGAAATGATGCATTGGATGCTCCCGAAATCTCTTGAAAGTTTGGTTTTACGAAATCCATTTGAAAAAAGCGACATTACTCTCGGAACGACAATAATGGGTTGATGCAGAAGTTATGTCGCCCCATGTTTGAAAAATCATAACTTCTTGCTTTCCCCACGAATTTGCACATGCTTAATTTTGTTAGATAGAGAAAATCCAGTGCAATTCCAGAAAAATTCACCGAAAGCTTGATAATAATCAAAAACTCCTGAAGAAACTTTTAGCTTTTAGAAAAAGAAATCCTACCTAAAGATTGTTGCCCTAAGGAAGGAGGAATTGATTCAAAATAACTGTAAAATTCGAGGTAGATTCTCCACTCAGATTTCTTACGATCGCAGTAAATTACTCGATATACTGAGTCATTTTTCTCTTTGTTCAGCTCAAAAATCAATTACGACATCTTTTATTATAACTCCTGTTGAAAAATTGGTTTTTCCCTGTTCCTTCCTCCACTGTAACGTAAAAAGAATATAAATAAGTTTCGATAGATTGAACTTTTGTAGGAATTTTGCTATCTTGCCGGATTGATAGCAGTCTTCATGGTGTTTACAAACGGCAGATGCACTCCAATCGCAACCTCATATTTGACAGTACATTCAAGGACCCCGTAATTTATGATGAGGTAAACTAGCTCCCTTCTGCAATGACAGTTATTGCAAACGCAGTGTCCTGGCAAATCTTATTCAGTGAAATTGGCTTTTGGGAGTCAACAATGCTTTTATCCAAGCGGCAGAAATAAAAATCAGTGTTTAATGCATGGAAAATCTAACTTCGAATCTCGCCCTTACCGTGCATCTTTCATGCGTATTCTTAAGTGTACGGTACCGGGCGTGGGTTGATAAATGAATTTCTGGCATCATATGAAGTGCCATTTGAGCCAGACTTGCTCAAGGTCTTTTGTTTGTAATGGAAGCTCTTAACTAGATTTGTCTGGACACTGTTTTTTTCGCAAAGTACGTGATACTGTATACAAGGTAATTTATTCTTATAGGTAACAATCTCCACAACAACAATAAGTGACTATGGTGATTGCTATGAGCAATTCGGACTTTCTTATGTGTTTGGCATGAAGTATGTCGTTACTATATAGTATCATGTTTGAAAACGTTTATTTTTTTGTGCAATTCTAGAAGAATGGGTCGGCCCATCTGTTACAAGTGCATCACTCCTATATTACGATCGGAGAATGTGCTACAGCTTGCACATCAGCAAGGTGAGCTTAACACGTTGACGACAGTGCCGCGCAATGATGCGCGGCGGTCTCAATTTCAATACTATCTGTTCAATCCACTCAGTTTGTGTTCATGTAATCAACATAGGCTCAGATGTACTTTATGAAGCCCCTCCCCTTTTGCAAACTCCGCCCACTCCTACGCCTCTCACAAGGGCCTTTTTTGTGTACAAAAAGCATGTATGATGCCGTAGATGAACGCAAAGACCTCAAGTAACTTTTATTCACGCCCCGCCAACAGTCGGACAAACTTCGCCCCCTGGCAAGCAGTGGCAAATGGTAAGCTCCTCCTATTTCCCAAAAGCGATGGGATTCGTATGAACTCTCAGAATCTGGGCAATTTCTGACATTTTTGTCCAAGTGGGCGGAGCTTGCCACAGGGGGGGGGGTAGTGCTTTTTATACAGGCTACACACACATGCGACCAGGCGTAGGGATGCACGGAAACGTTTCGTCCACATAGAAAGACCTTAAAAAATGGCTCCTCGAAAACGTGCTCATAATGATCTAAATCATGATTGAAAAATTGCGGATGCCTTTACAATTATCCACTTAGGAATCTCAGTAAGCATAATGTCCGAGTTCCATCAAAATTAGGGAAAGAGCTCTGGTGCAAATTCTTGCCAAACAAATCGTCTCGACTAAAACGCAAATCATAACAATAATGAGGGGGTCATGTAGAGTTATAATCCGTTGCGGTAAAGATAGAACATTCTTTACTTGCTGTTCGTTATTCTTGCGGTAAAGAGCTGTTCGTCATTCGGTTCTCTGCATGGTAACTAAAAGTGCCAAAATTGAATTTTTCAATAATTAACACATTCACGACAATACGATCCACCGGTGGGTCGCACATGTCCTGCCATTTTGGGCAATACGATCCACCGGTGGGTCGCATGCTTTCTGAAGTTTTTGATTTTTCTAGACGGTGAAACTTTTTAGGCAAACCGAGTAAACTTCTGTGTACATTTCTTGGAGTAATTCCCAAAAGATTAACAATTCAGACCACAGGACCCATCAGTGACCCGAAAATATCACGCAAACTCAACTTTGCAAAATATGCTCTGGTCCGAAATGCAGTCATCAAAAATCGGCCCCCGTTGTGTGTTGAAAATGCAAGAATTCTTTTTACTCAGAACTTGTGCAGACATGTAGAGTGGCGTGTAAGCTCATTAAACGATTTTTTAGCAGCCCAAAACTTTCTTGAAGCGCTCATTTTCCGAAAAGATTTTTTAGCCGCTGGAACGTAATATCAATTTCAGGTGATACTTGCTACGAAACAGTCAGTGGAGCAAAAACCGCTTGTTTTGACGCTGCTCAAGTAACGCCAAGAGATGGTACCACGATTTTTAGTGAGTCATCATTTACAAACTGAAGTTGTACTATCATTTTGCAGATATTTCACAAATGCAAACTCTCTTTCTAGGAGCAAATCCACTGCCAGTCACATGCCACGTCGATGGGCGATTTTCTCTCGAATATACACTCAGAGGAGCGAATTTGAAATGCGAAGCAGGATCAGAGTCGGAGGTAGAGCTTTTGATTCCAGTATCAAAATATTAGTTTGATTTTTTCAGTGTTTAAAGTATTTAGGTAAATAATTGTGATTCTTCAAGCATTCTGAACGTTAAGTTTCGCAACTGTACTTTTCCGGATTTTGGTAGGCTTCTCTATAAAAGTACTTAACAAATAGTTAAAAGCTCCCATTTTTCAGATATGTACTTGAGATGCATTGGCTCTTTTCTTGGACCAAAAAAGGAACGATACATCATAGTCGAGAATGAGGAGAGCGAGGAATACCGATGCGGGGTAACAAAGGCTTTGTAGTTGTTATCTCAAATCTTTGATTCGAATATTTCAGTTGCTTGTGACGTCATCAACCCAAGAGCTGACCATTCATTTTTCGAATGATTCATCTTGTGCATCACTTACAAGCAGTAATGCTTTTGAAACCTACAATCTCAAGCCAAGTAAGAAAACTACTGTAATGGTTATTTTTTGCTGAGGCGCGTAATGGCCATAACGGACGTTGTACTTTGCGTAAAAAGCCCAAAAAAGCCCAAAGAAGCCCGAAAGAGCCGAAACACTTCTTCCGTTTTGACTCTAAGGCATGGGTGTTGATTTGCAACCGAGTCTTTTTGCTTCATTTTCTATCGTCTGGACATCAAAAGTTCGTTTCTGCGTTCAAACTCTCGGACTTTTTCGGGCTTTTTCCCGATTTTTTGGGCTTTTTCGGGCTTTTTTGGGCGCCTTTGGGCTTTTCTCGGCGAAGTATGACGGGTCCCTAAGGCAGACATTACCATTTACGCGCGAATGTTGTCGGAAACGGAAAAATGGTGATTACCTCAAACTATCACTATAGCAGAGTTGTTTGTAACTTAGTGTGTGAGACTCCACACCGTGCGCGGCATTTTATGACTATTTGCGAACAGTCAGTAAAACTGTTTGTTAGAACATCTTTTTGAGAAAAAAAGACCACTTACTGCTTGCCTTTAGCCATGAAAGATCAAGTGAAAATAAATGGAAATTGAAAAAAAGTCCTTAAAGTCCACCTTTCACACAGCATATACTTCGTCCGATAACGCGCGTGCTGTGTAGTGCACTAAGTCACTAATGTCTGCAGTAAGGCAGCTTTTAGTTCCTAGTAAGGCTCATTCCAGTTAAATAATGTAATAGGTCAACCAAATAGTCACAATAAAAAAATAAAAAAATCCATAAGTAGACAAACAATTTTTTTGAAAGCCGATCATTATTTTTTGACACTTTCACTCATTCACTCATTCTTTTTCTTCCACTCAGTCTTTTTTCATGAATTTTCTTACAGTACAAAGCGAGCAAATCTCTTCGCCATGTCAATTTCCTACTTGGGTTCGTGGCGAATACGACTCACTCACAGTGACCGCCGACTGGCTACAGTACGCCCAGCTGGGCGAGGGTACGGTAGCCGTGGTATCTAGATGTGTTCAAGTTAACGAAGATAGGATAATGGTTTATTCGGAGACGAAATGGTAAATTCATACCATTTTTTGGAAATATCTTGGTGATATTTTTGTAATAGTAACGTTCTTTAGTGGCGAATCGATAGGTTATCACTGTCTATGGTTTGCTCCACGTAGTGAAAGTCTCATTGAATTCAAAACAACTACTCCACGAGAGGAGTTAAATACCAGCGCTTGTAGGTAAGTATAAAATGTCCTCCCCCCCCCTCCAAACGAGAATGGGTGGCGAATATTTAAGAGTGTCTATAAGAGTATAAAATTGTGTAGAGAATTTGTTTTCACTTGTAGACAATAGAAAAATTCTTTCGAATTTCACAAAATGCGCTATTATTCAGCAGTAAAAATCCTCTTCGGTAGAATTTTCGCCACTTCCCCTTCTTCAAATTTTGGGGTTGTGGGCCCATGAATATTGAAAGGTATGATTAGGCCACGCTCATCCATAAAAGCATTTTTATTTTCCCTTCAACAAAAGTTTCTCGGGCCGCCACTGCTAATCATGGTGAAAATATATGGCCAGAAACTTTTTCAGCTAGTTAAATAATTGAAAATAATTTTCTTTCAGTTCCGATGAAGAATTCAGTCATTGGCCGTGGACAGCAGCTGTAGTCAGTAACGCTCGTCCTTCATCTTGTAGTACTATGGGGTAAACTTCCGCTTTATGCAATTTCTGCCCTGTGACTCAGTTTTACTATTTTCAGACTGTATGCTACACCAGCCGATTTGCATTCGGAAGATTGCTATGATGTCAATATTGGCTGTAACAACTCCTCTGGCATGAAGATTACCGCTTCACATTGTTCAACAAATATTGTATTTGATTGTGAGTTACTTTCTCTCTTACCTTAGGACTAACATGTGAAACTTTGAACACTAGCATACATTCAAAGAGTGGCTCTTAACACGGAAAATGATCGTACTGTCAATTTTTCATCTTTGCTACAACAACGTAAATGCAAACCAAAGACAGTGCCCGAACAGACCTACCCTTTGATTCAACTGGCCTGGCGGCTAGAAGGGGGAGGGGCTTCGTGACCTAATTAAGGCTAGGCGATCAGAGAGCACTCACGCGAAGAGACGTAGACTGCGTCGCGGGTGCAAGCGGTCTTAATTAGGCACAAAGCTCCCCTTCCAGGAGCCAAGCCTGTTGAATGAAAGGTTAGGTACTCGACTTTTTGCGAGAACTGAATAGAGATAAGATAACGAAGCCATCGCTCAAGCGGCAACTCATGTGATTCATCTAAAGGTCAGAAAATCAGCTTTTAACTATAACCCGCACCGGGGTGAGCGACTTTATGAACGATAGCATGTGCCACTCGCCAGTTGGGTACCGTACGAGGTACGCTGGGCTCTGCCCCTTGCTAATCATAGGAAACCCTCTAATATCTCTTCATGCTTCTTCAGCTCGTTGCAGTTTGGATATACAATAGATTTTGAAAATTCCAAATAATTTGAAAATCAGCTTTCAGAATCATTTTTCAGTAAAAATTAGTTTGCAAACGCTTTTCCAATCCATTTCGGTTTTTTGTTTCTAGACGTTGGTTAGAATTGATTTCTCATTACAAATATGAGAAAGATTTGTTTCGGAAAATGCTGGAAGGAGTGTTTCAATTCACTTTGTTTATATTTGTTACCATATTGAACTTTTTTATTGTAAACTCTCCAGTTTAATTCGAAAAGAAATCAACTTGTCGAAGAAATATAATTATTGTAGCTGAAATATCGAAAGTATCAAAATATGTTAGGTTGTCCGGAAATTGATGCAGGTTTTGAATTTCAACCGCAATAAGTCATACACTTCTCATTTCTAAATAGGTTGCAAGGTACCATTTGATAGAGCAAAGCAAGCTCTACAAGACGGCCATCCTGCTTTTGCAACAGCTCTCGTCCACCTCGAGTTTCGAGCCAAAAACTAAAAAGACTCAGCAGCCCAAAAAACCGAAAAAAATCGTAACTCAGTTCATAAAAATCCTACAAAAATTCTAACTTGCTCACGTAAGCACTATCTACAAAAGACATCTATATACGCCGTTGCCGCAGTTTTTCCTTTGTTAGAAATTAAGATAACGGAAATTTTCATGCATTTGCCAAAGTGGTAATGTGCCGCCCCCACATAAGTAGTTGCATACTACAAACCTGTAGAAGTACAAACGTAAATTTTCAGCTCTCTACAAGCTTTAGTTTTCGAGAAATCTTATATATAAAGCTGAATGTCTGTTTGTCTGTCTGTATGTCTGTCTGTCTGTATGTATGTACGTATGTTCCGAATACAAATTTTTATTTCTGAACCGATCGGGACCAAACTTGGCACACATATACTTCAGGGCAGGGAGCGTGTCATAGGCTACTTTTCGTTATCGATCGATATCGATTTTATTGATTTTTTGCAAAATTCGAGCTAGAGGGCTGGGATTTGGCAGAGGGGGGTAATCGAGCATGCTGATCACCCCGAAGGGGTGATCAGCATGCTCGATTACCCCCCTGTGCAAAATCCTAGCCCCCTAGCTCAAATTTTGCAAAAAATCGGTAAAATCGACATCGATCGATAACGAAAAGTGGGCTGTGACACGCTCCCTGCCCCGAAGTGTATGTGTGCAAAGTTCGGTCCCAATCGGTTCAGAGATAAAAATTTCTATTCGGAACATACGTACACGGGTCTAGCTGGCAGGCCCGGCGGAGCCGGGCAAGCCAGCTAGTTTTAAATAAAATATCGAATATAGCCTTCATTAGTTAGGTGGTCCAAGCTAAAATTCAGATTTCTCGAGAACTAAAGCTTGTAAAGAGCTGAAAATTTACGTTTTTACTTCTACAGGTTTGTAGTATACAATTACTTATGTGGGGGCGGCACAGCACCACTTTGGCAAATGCATGAAAATTTCCGTTTTCTTGGTTTTTAACAAAGGGTAAAAACGGCAAAGGCGTATATAGATGTTTTATGTGGATAGTGTTACGTGAGCGAGCAAGAGTTTTTGTAGGATTTTTATGAACTGAGTTACGATTTTTTTCGGTTTTTTGGGCTGCTGAGTCTTTTTAGTTCTTGGCTCGAAACTCGAGGTGGACGAGAGCTGTTGCAAAAGCAGGATGGCCGTCTTGTAGAGCTTGCTTTGCTCTATCGAATGGCACCTTGTAACCTATTTAGAAATGAGAAGTGTATGACTTATTGCGGTTGAAATTTAAAACCTGCATCAATTTCTGGGCAACCTAATACCAACATGATTATCTTTTTTTTTAATCACACGAGTAGTTTTTGAAAACCCTCATAGCTAAAAGCACATTTCCTTAGAGCAAAATTTCAAAACAAGCGTTATAGGCTAATTTTCTTTCAAGCAAACTGATTCTATTAGCTGGTGTACATGATTACTTTTACTAATGTGTCGCATAATCAGATATCACTCGTTCTGAAAAATGCGGTCATATCACAGAAACTTTTTCCAGTACTCAGGTAGACCACACACTTCACTTGTAATTTTGTAGATCTGCTTTAAGAAAAGATGCTTTTGTTTTGCTTCCAAAAACTGCCACCCTCAATAAGAATCGATCCGTTACTCAATCGAAATTGCGTGTGAACTTGTCGTAAGATGTGAGGTCACTCAAACAATCATGCCTGAGGTGTTCTAGATTGAATTCACACTCCAAAGTTGGATATCCAGAAGAAACTGGTCATTCATAGGTAAATCAGCAAATCTCTTGAATTTCACTATCAACACATCTTTAAGTCATTAATTTATTAAATAAAGGAACACAAGATTCTGTAAATAACCAAGCGTTTGCTAGCTTATAAGTTTCACTTTCCTATCAGGAGCTTCTAGTAAACTAAAGGACATGGTCGTGAACCAGTGTTAAAGCTGTAGTGCAGAAAAGAGCTGTAGTGCAGAAGACCCGTCCATCTAACGAAAGGCCGAGCTAACAGTGCGCGCCTTAGTAACACATGCCTTCCTAAGCGCGCACTTTCGTTCGTAAAGTCCGCCACCCCCCCCCCCCCCCCGGACCGTAATTTCAAATAAGCGAGGATGTTGATGCCCGCTTGGGCAGAGTATGGCTCAGACTCGAGTTGAGTTTCTGGTTGCGAAAGGCATTTTAGTTCTTCATTTCGTGGATACTATACCTTTGATCTACATGTGAAATAAGTTCCGCCAAAGTTTCGAATAAGTTCAAAATTTGGAATTTTGTCACGTGAAGAAGGGCTGCTTTCTAAGAAAATAAAAACAAAATACCAACACGGAATGACTACCAAATTAGCTACGTCACGCGGTACACACCGTAATCGTGAACATCGTTTTCTTTGTGAAATCATTGTTCAGTTATCTCCGAAACGAATAGTGACGGCATACCTCCATAAATTTTTTCTGGAAGTGCGGCCTTGGACTCTATTTCGATGTTCTTGAGGTTGACATAGCTCACTGTGAAATGCAAAAAAACGGTGCTGCACTGTGCACCACCAGCCCGAAACGTGCCAAGCTCTTGATTAGATTATTCATAGGATTTGTTTAGCTAGACAGTATCAATGCATTGCCTCTTGGAGGGAAGACGACTTGCTTTTCCTCTATACAATAAGAGATCAGGACACTCGTACTTGTTTCGTAAGTGTAGATTATGAATCACGTTCTGCTGATTATGAACGTTCAAATAATTAGGTCGGGAAGCATTCATCAGGACGTTTATACCTTTCATCCGTTGGAGCACACTGTGCAAGAGGTTACAATTTTGCTGAAAACTCAGAAAAGACTATAGTGCTGGAGGAAACATGTGGGTCGAAAAATTGTACCAATAATATCTTTTTCATACCGAGTTTACTTACAGCTGGGTGTTCCTATACTGTACGACCAAAACCAGCGAGAAGACCTACTACGTCGAGCACGAAAGCTGCTACTGTCGTGGTTTTAGATCCAACGACCGAAAGTACATCAACAGCTGAGATGACAGAGTCACTTCCTCCTGACACTGAGGACGTTGAACAGCAATGGAAGTCGGACCACATGACTTCTGCTATATCGAGCAGTTTTCTTCTTTTGTCGTCCATAACTTGTTGTTTGATTATACTGTGAGTACTTTGTGTGACTTTTGAGAAATGGTTTCGGGTGTGGTTTTGTTCTGTTTGAATTGTTAGATGTCTTTTGTTGGTAAAATAAGCACCATTAAAATACACATTTTGACATTTTTGGCTAGAAATAGGCTGTCTTCAAATAGATGGGGTAATTTTGAAATGATTTACAGTTACTGGGAAAGAGGTGTTTTGTGATATTAGCTGAACTGTACGGTAAGCCTGGAGGAGGTCACTTCTGAAGCATCATGCTGCTGCATAAGTACTGTCCGATTATATCTTTCAACTCGAAAATATCGTAACTTTTTTTTTCAACATCAACCATTTTTGAAAGCTTATATTTACCTAGGTTAAGCAAGCTTTTGGCTATCAGATGGATGATATGCCCAACGAAGAAGCTATTGTAGGAGAACACTCTTCAGAAGTGATAGACCGCGAAGGAACTAAGCAGTGTACAGTGTTACCAAAATTGCATCACGATGCCGTCGAGCAAGCCTCAGTAAGAAAGACTTGCAGTTTATCCAGAAAGAGAAACGCAAAGTTTTGGAAAAACACTGAGTCGGTAAAAAGCTGAGCTTACCATCAGGCTTGCAGCTAATACCTAAGTTGGGAATTTCAGGTTCTGTAGGAAGTGTTGGAAATATGCCAGAATGACAGGCTCTGGATACATACGACCGACGCGCTGCGTGTGCGCCGCGGAGATACCTATGAGAAGGCATGGGGCACCCTATACATCTCATTTCTAACAACGCTTTGCAGTAGCTCTCCTAAAAAATTGAATACCCTTTATTACAGATGTTTTTATTGTTTCCACTTAATTATTTTTCTCCGACAACAAAATCAGCCCAAATTGAATTGACTCGTAGTGGATCATAGTTTCGCACGCAAAATTTTTTCTTATCGTTGCTTCTGTTATATTTACCGACTACCAACTTCTGCATTTTCTTCACTGCACTCTTCCAACGAGAAGGAGACGTGATTTCGTCAAACGACACGAAAACACATTGAGGTCATGTCAAAAATCAGAATAAGGTGAAACTCATATTGTTACAATTTTTAACACATCAAATGTTGCGGAAACTCAGCAGCATACAGTCTGCTTTTAAGTATCTCCTTCTTTTTGCAAAAACACCCACAAGCGTTGCGATCAGATCGTTCCGCTGTGGTGCGTAAAAAATGCGAGTCATATTGTGTAAAATAGGAACATCAAAACGAGTGATTTATTAACAGGATTACAATTAATATGGCTATACGGCAGCACTCTGCTAGTCATTGGCATCTTCGACATCTACCAAACAGCACAACGCTTGCTGGGGTTCATGGCACTACCCACTTCACAGTTAAAGGCAGCAGCGAATTCTGGCTGATTCGCCAGCACTTGGTTGACGCTGAAAAGGTAGCTAAATTTGTGCGACCCATATACTAGGCTTTACCTACCGGTAACGCTTTGGGGCATGCACATCTTTACGAATGGTGTCAATCATTGCATCATTCGTTTTATGCCCACACCAGATCTCAAGCTGACCGTTACCACACTTTACTTTCGTGGATCATAAAACGTTACCGTAGCATAACCCAAGAAGAACATCTGCTCGTTGTTAAATTGTTCGAGACCTTTGATCCTTTCTTCTTTACCACCATGCTTTCGCAGATAAGCTTTGTAAGCCCAAACAAATACATTTCATGTATTGCTGAACCAGATCGAGACATTCACCCTGTACGCCAATTTCACTCCCCCGTGGTCGGCAATATTTTCTTGCAGAGTGCGCTTACCCTTAACTTTGTAACCAGTTCCTGGTACCTCAATTTACCTTTGTTAATCTGAACTAAAATCAGAAAATCCGCCAACAAGCTCTCTAACCTCAATCTTCCCGTATTGATCGATGAGACATTGAGATCGCTGCTCATCTTCCTCCTCGTCATCATACCACCATTTTCTGAATACGCCGAAGGCATCATAGCGACGCCCTAAAATACGAGAATTAATGAATTCGGATTGAAAACAACGAAGTGATCTCAATGAACTTCAAGCACTTCTGAGCATAGAAGGAATACCTCGAATATCAAAGCCATGGGTGATTTCGTGCCCGATGACTGCTCCAATACCGCCATAGTTCAGCGCTCTGAAAGCCAAGATGCTTCACTTACGTAGACACTATCCATCATACAAAGCGGAAGCTATGAACTTTATCTGGAAGTTGCATACCCTTACATCGAGCAAGGCTACTAGTAGGGAGGTTACTTAACTTATAGATGTCTAAGAATGCTGCTACTGTTGCTTGGTAATACCTCTCATGTTCTGACTTCTTTCGCTGATCTTCAGTTCCTTCATTAGAACTGACTTGGAACTCAGAAAAGATGGAATGAGTTACCACTGCCTCACATTTACCAGAAGTGGTTTTCACAGAGTGGTGTTTTTTTTTGAATACTTAGCACTTCAAAATTTTATCAAAGCACCTTAAACCTTTTGTGACGGGGTTTCGAAGGCTCTGATTTTGGCAAATGCGCTCTGTGAAGCTGTTGAGAAAGGTAATCGAATTATTGACAAATCTCGCAAATACTGTTTTTAGGTCAGCTGGCGAGATTTTGATTAAAAGTTTGACTGTAACTTGCAATGTGCAAACTTGATATCAGCAACCCTGATATACTTTGTAGCAAAATTGTAAGTGTTTTGGAAAACTTTCAGGGGGCAAGACTTCATTATTGGGCAAAACCCTGTTAAACGTTTTTATGAATAGTGCAGTAATGAAGAGAGATTGAATCGCTTTATACTGTAAATCTGGTAGAAGTCAACTACTATATGGTACCTAAAAAGCAGTAAGTACGATGCGACCAAATAGTATAAATCTTTTTTGGAAAACTCTGTACCTAATTCGCAAAGTTCGCTTTATGAATAACGACAAAAGCAGATTTTTTCGCCACATGCAAATTTGCGGTTAGAATTGTCAAAGGATGTACATTTATTGTATACTACATTTGCTACCGCATCGATCGAACTTCTACATTTGTTCCCTGCACACTTCAAATGCCTGAAATAGTCGTCAAAATCACTTTCTTTGTGTAAGGAATAATCTCTTAGCATAATGTATCTTATGAGCTTGTCATCTATGCTTCTGCTTTCAAAGCAAATCTGACAAGGGAATGGTCAGAAATCGAAGTGGCCATTCCAGACAAGCTGCATAGCGTTAGATGCAGCATGAAGCGCTGACTCTAAATCTGTCTTCTTTATCTGCTTATCGCTTTTCTGGACGAAGTTATAAGCCATTAGAGACCATTATTTTGCTTAGAAATTATGCGTGAAATTGAGAATTTAGCCGTACAGAGCCTCGTTCGCCTCAATGCTGGGCCAAAACATGCAGCTAGCTTACTTGAAATTTTTGAAGCCAGAAGCCGAGCTAAAAGTGCAATAATGTGCTCAATTTCGCTGTTTTTATGTATGATTTTTCCACAATAAAACCGCTTGTACCTTCGTCCACAGAAGCGGGAAGCAGATAAGGAAGACATATTCGATGTCAGCGTTTTATACTGCATCGAATGATATACAGCTTGTTTGGTTTGGCCACTTCGACTTCTGACCATTCCCTTCTGAGAAAGGAATTTTGGGGAAGCGATTGCATGTAACTAATAATGACATGTTAGACTTCCAAGATAAAGCACATAAACGCAAAGATAACTCTTCTACTGTACAAACGGACTGATAATTCATTTTTCAATGCTTCGTCAGCTGAAGATTGCTGCACAAAATAAGGAATTTCCCCTCCTCCCACGTTCCCTTTCCCGGTTTTTAAATTTGACAACTGGCGTTTTCTGCAATAGAGAATGTACTTTATCTGATTGAAAACTAGCCTTGGGAATGTGTGGTGGAAAAAGGGAGGATGGAGAATGCCGGCTTTAACCTCTGAAAATTACCAAAATGTTAACTTATGAAGAATCAAAGCATAGAACTGCATTAAACTTACGTAGAGAGTTGATATATGGCTTGTAAGATGCGTTAACATCGGCTGAGTTGAAGATTACAAAACGATTCAACACCGTCATTAGTTGTTTGAAGAAGTTCTTGATACGCCATTGAATTACCTTTTCCACCATTTCACCGAGCGAGTCGGTGTCACGCACATCCATCTAAATTAGCATGTACGTTCGCAAATGGCCAGCGGTAGATGTTTACTTACCTCGCCGTAGTATCTGTCAAGTCTTTCTTCATCTAGAATAAATTTTGGGTAGGCTACTTGACGCACCATATGTTCCAACTTATTCAATGCTTCCTGCGTGTACAGTGTTCGGTCGCTTAATTTTCAGTCTGTCAGCTTACATTTCTAGTTTCATCATCAATCCATTTGCTGGTGTTAAGGATCTCACGAAACTCTTCCTTCAGGGCATTGGCAATTTCAAATACGTCCTCCTTTGCATTCTAAATTACAGTGAATAGAAGGATTCTAGCACCGTTTTTCGTACCTCATGCAATGCTTTCTTTACGTACAACGCTGTGGTAGCGTAATTCATCAAACGCATAGTGATACCAGTGCAAAACTTCCATCGCGGTATTTTCCGCTGCTTTTCATACATCGTTTGAATGTACTCCTAAATTCGAATTTACTTTGAAACATAGCTATTCGAATTCACAAACGTTCCATCTAGACTGCGCTTAATAGGAATTTCAATAAAACACCTTGGTGATATTCGTTTACCTGCTTGATATCCTCATACTTTTCTCCCATCTCACCCGTTATTGAAAAACTTTGCGAAAATAACATAAACACATAGTTTGTGATTATGCGAGGATCCGTTGACTGTAAAAGTTCGTTCACCCTAAATGCACATGCTCTACACCCTAGTGCTATATGAGCAGAAAGAAAATGGAGGTTCCACCTAGACATATACCCATGGTCGTTTACAAGTATTTTTGGATCCGAGGCGAGGTACTCTTGGGAATCGAAAGGAGCAACAGCACTGAAGAATTGCCGCCAATTGACCTGAGAAAAATATATTCAGCCAGTTCGAAAGTCGTTTCGATTTATCCTCGAGTCAGTACGATAGCAAATGCTCCAGAGGGTGTTTCGATGCAAAAAATCTTCCTCTTTTTAGCAGTGATGTATTAGTTCTAAAATAACTGACTCTTGCTCAAGAGAGCGTCTATATTCAACCCATAATTTCTATCAAGCTTTATCTCAAATTTTTAAAAATTTTCATTTGACTGATTTTGATTTGACGTTGATTTTATCCTCAACCTTAAAGGCAGTGTCCAGGCAAATTTGGGCTAATGGGTTTTTGCTTGAAAATGATGAGGGGTTTAGCTAAGGTACTGCCCGACCGACGCAAATATTGATTTACGGCTGGTAAGGGATTGTTCAGACCGCGCACGAAGGCGCACAAAGGCGCACAAAGGCGCACGAAGGCGTGTGTGTGTGCGTCGAGATAAACGAGGCGAGACAAGACGCGCCTTCGTGCGCCTTTGTGCCCATCTGCGCCTTTGTGCGCAGTCTGAACGATCCCTAATCCGTTCTCAAACCCTCCGCGACTGATCGTAACACGCGAATGACGTAGGATAGTTCCCATCACGACGCAATGTTTATGTGAGAGAAGTTATTTTCGAGTCACGGTCAAGGTGCAAGCGCGGAGAATTTGGGGACGATTTCTCAGCCACGAATGGAACATTTGCGCTGCCGTTCGGGCAGTGCCTTAGCTAGGACTCTCTTAGTGTTTTCATGTAAAAAAACCCATGTGACCAGATTCACTTGGACACTGCCTCTAGGAATAAAGAAGAAAAACGTACATTAGAAAGAGCAAAACAATCTGCATCGAATGGCACCCAATTTGCTCGCTGGTGATGTTCATTAGTTTGGGCTGACAGGTATGGTATTTGGCAACATCAGGAAGATCATTTCGAAAAATTCTGAATTTAGCTGTAATGTCGAAAAGTGCATTGTCTTGCTTTTGAGCACTTTATTAAGCAGTATTCAAGGGCTCCATTTGGATTTCATTTCTAACTTCTCCAAAAGTTAGAAATGAAATTCAAACAAGGTAGATAAAAAAATCGTGTGTTGAAGATCTTGACAGGTGTATCCCATTACTTGTGACTATCAACTACGCAGTCGCCGCGCGCCACAGGCTGGCAAACTCGCGACCTCGAGTCGCCTACTCGCAAAGCTATACTGTTCCTTCTTTGTAAAAGATTTTATAGTACTACATTAATTTACATGTTTGACGAAGAAAATTTGTAGCAAAAAGGAAGACTGTGAAGGAAAATACAATACGCTCACATAGAGGCAAAATTTCCATGAATGTCGCGGAATTCCCGAATTTCGCGGAACCTCGCGACATTCCAGGAATTTCGCGAAATCCCGGAAATTTCGCGTAATTCCCGGAACTTCGCGACATTCACGGAGATGATTATGAAAGCGGTATTGTATCTGGCTGATAAACTAACGAGACGGTTCTTCTCTCATCTGCTGCAAGCAGATAACCGTTAAAAACGCCATGTAAATTTTTTCATTCATACCTTTATGCTGAAGTGATTTACAAGCTTTTCTACAATTATGACGATGGAACAGGTTTGAATGCGTGAATGATGTAAATTTTCAAGTTTTCGCTTAGATGAATTACTCAGTGTGCTGACAACATTCCTTACACTGTTTTGCTGCCGGTGGTACATCATAGGGATGAAAATCTGCCAAAAAGACATGATTCTCAACATTAAGAGACAGTTTACGAGAACGTAAGTTTGTAACTTCATAATCTGATTTAGCAGATAGGAGCCTATGCTAAACATAGTCCTATAGCGTCATTCACAGAGTTGTTAATTTACAAAAACACGCATGCAAGTTCCCTAGACGGGCGAGAAGTGCAGACGAATCTCCAACCTGCGTCATTTGACTCAGTTTTTTCTATTTAGAACACCACTGTAAGACTCTTTAGCGCGGAATACTAAGTTTTTCGTTAACAGTGAGATTGAAAGCTACTGTGAGTGGTGAACTCACGGGCCAATCCAAGATCATTGATATTTCAGCCAAAACCAGCGGCCAAGTCAAGTGCGAAAATAGAGAAAAAATCAAGTGGCGCCATTTTCTTTGAAAAATTTGAGCATAGAGGTTATTGGACCTGCTGATTACAAAAAACACTTCTGATTCACATGATACCTTTTTTCTTTAGCGCTGAGAGTGGCTAGATTTTGACTAAATATGGATTCTTGCAAAGTTTGCGGGCCATTTTCGCCTTCCACACGAGACATTTGGCATTTTTTAGCTACTGAGAAACCCGCGAACCTACTGTATCAAATGATGTCTATCATAGCTCCCTGTCTACATTAAATATTGGGTTGCGCCCTAACAAAAACCCGCTCGCAGAACATAAATAAAGACCTTAGATCAAAGCTAAATGATTTCTCATCGTACATTCTAGATTACTCATACAAAGTGCCATTCTCCAAATTCGATGAATGGTGTTTCCGAGGTAGCCACTCGAAAATTGACACAATCGATATTTTGGAGGAATTCTCGCCTGGCTCCGCCCACTTTTGGCCCCGCCCCATACCCAAGTCTCCGCCCACTTCTTCCCCACCTTCCCATTCCAACCCATCCGTGCCCGGGCCACTAACCCACCACTAAACACCAACAAACCACTACCGACCGACTTATATACAGAGATCGAGATCAAATTAAAAACTCTCCAGATACTAAAGGGCAGCGCCCCTCACATTTATGCTGCTTTCCAACTTCCTCCATCAGCTGATAGCGCATCAAAAGTGTACCGAAATATTCCTATGCCAACGCCTCGATAATTCTCCTGGAATTGTTATTTCATTTTGATCTATTATAAAGTTTCCCGAAAAATTTCCATGTCCGAGACCGTCCTAAAATCAGCTTCTTGTGTATTCAACCTCCGATTCTTCTGTAAATTTTCTGGTATAGCCCCTTCGGATATAAACACAAATACGGGTATCCGGACACTTCGTCCCCATTTTCCACATAGATATGCATAAAAATGGACTCTGCCCTACCTTACAAATTCCTACAAAAGAGCTCAAAGCCCGCTTCAATCATAAAAAGAAAGACATAGCATTGGCCCATCAGCGCTAATCTTGGTGATATGAGGTCACCTTCGCACCCTAAATTGCAAATTTTACATTTCGGCTGTCAATCATAATACCGCTCACATAATGTGCAAAATTTCCATGAATGTCGCGAAATTCCGGGAACTGCGGAATTCCCGGAATTTCGCGACATTCACGGAGATTTTGCAGATTATGGGAGCGGTATTGAATGGATACTACAATGTTTTTGATCAGAAAATGTAAACTTTCGCTGTAATAAATTGACCCCTATTTCCTCTGGGACATTTCCTCTGGCTCTGCTGCTTCTCGCCCAAGCTAGTGTAATGCCGCGTCGCGGCAGTTCTTAATTGACACTCACAAGTAATGGGCGCCCCTCCCCCCCCCCGATCTTGACATTATTAAGCGAATATAAAATAAATCGGAATAAAAACGCCTTTGCTAGAAAAGGAAGGACATTCCGCATCGGGAACTGTTTAGAGCGTTTGTCTATATATTTTGAACTATTCCAGGATAGGTTCAATAACGGCACGGACTTACGGACCGACCTAATACATAACTTTACCTTTTTTTCGGAAACTTACAAGCGGCATGAGTTTTTGCATTTCCCACAAGTGGTTTATCTTAATGTGTGAGTCGGTATCATCTACGTCTGCATCCATAATTTCCGCAATTCTAAACTCCAGGTCGATGATTTCGTCTACATCTTTCTCTATTTTTGATTTGTTAGTAGGCAGTCCACCATCCCTTTGAAATTCTTCAATCTTAATTCAGAAATGTGAGAACGCCTATAAGCTTGAAATTTGGGAAAAGTGCATTACCTGCCTAGTAAGAAACTTTTTTAGCGCTCCAATATAAGTTCCGTTCTTCTCTCTATCCAGGTATTCATCTTTGTCCAAAAAGAGATTTCCTCGACCGAACTGTAGTTGTTGAACAGGTTAACATGGCAGTTATGTGAAACTCTATACCTGCTATTTCTGCACACCAGTCCCCTATTCATGAAGTATAGGTTACAGCTGCGAGCAAGTGAAAATTTGTGTTGCTTTGCTTCTCATTTTGTCTGTGAACTATGCTACCAAGGTGCTTAGCAGATTCGGTTGCTTCTATTAGGTTGCCGGAAATTAACGCCCGTTTTGAATTTCAACCGCAATAAATCATAAACTTCTCAATTTTAAATAGACAGCATTTGATAGAGCAAATCAAGCTCTACAAGATGGCTCTTTTGTTTTTGCAACAGCTCTTATCCACCTTGAGTTTTAAGGTGAAAAGTAAAAAGACTCGGCTGCCCGAAAAATCGAGAAAAATCGCAACTAAGTTCTTTCTTGCTCACGTAAACACTATCCACATAAAACATCTATATACGCCTTCGCCGCATTTCTCCCTCTGTTAGAAATCAAGAAAACAGAAATTTTCGTGCATTTGCGAAAGTGATGCTCTGCCGTCCCCACATAGGTAATTGTATACCACAAGCCTGTTGAAGTATAGACTTAAATTATCAGCTCTATAAGCTTTGGTTCTCGAGAAATACCGAATACAGCTTTCTCTAGTTAGGTGGTCCAAACTAAAGTTCAAATTTCTCGAGAACTAAAGCCTGTAAAGAGCTGAGAATTTACGTTTATACTTCTGCGGTTTGTATTAGGTTGTCGGATAATTTCTGTTACACTTTTTTCTAAAATTTCTAGAAAATTTAAGAAGCTTTCTGAAAACCCCAAATCTGCAACATGCTTAGGACATAGCAGGGTCTACCCACCAGCATGATTGATTCCGCAAGTGCACTAATGATCAACAAGTTTACGGCAGTTTTGTAAGAGCAGTCAAATTTTTCAGTTTTTGTCTGATCTTTTTTCCTGCACCTACCTGCCCTTTCCCTCTCTAGAATTTTTTTAGAACGTATTTTGGCACTGTCTCTTACACTGAGGCATTGCGATGCTTTTAGCGTTTCAAAAACGGGGGGTGAAAAAATATCAAAAAAATTCAAAAACTTTCCTAAATTCTTCTTTTTATGTGCATCGTATAGAAATGAATACAAAAAACATAAAAATGATTTTTGGAAATTTTTTGGAGAAGTTTCCTTCGTAAAAATTCCGAAGATTGCAAAGATGGCGCGCACTGAGATTTGAACCTGTCAGAAAAACGTGTGCAGACATGTCTGCGTTATCCCCCCACATTAGCTAAACGCTACAGACTATGCCATACCTGATCAACACATTGTCCGGTCTATCGCTCATCACCTGAGAGAACGCCAGCTCATTTACAAAAATAGGAAGAAATGGATTTTTAGCCACAAAGTGAGTGTTTTGCGCATGGATATCGCGGATGCGACGGTACCCTTGTATGGGCCTTTTGACCCTGCCCATACACTATGAACATGAGATCTTTCCAAGGCTTCTGAGATTTTTAAGAATTAAAATAAAAAGTGTAACAGAAATTATCCGACAACCTAATAGTAAACAAGTACCTAGGTGAGGACGACACAGCATCACTTTGGCAAATGCACGAAATTTTTCGTTTCCTTGATTTCTAACAGAGGAAGAAATACGGCAAAGGCGTATATAGATGTTTTATGAGAATAGTGTTTACGTAAGCAAGTAGGAATTTTTGTAGGATTTTTATGAACTGAGTTACGATTTTTTTCGATTTTTCGGGCTGCTGAGTCTTTCTAGTTTTTGGCTCGAAACTCGAGATGGATGAGAGCTGTTGCAAAAGCAAGAAAACCATCTTGTAGAGCTTGATTTGCTCTATCGAATGGTACTTTGCAATCTATTTAGAAGAGAGAAGTATTGATTTATTGCGGTCGAAATTCAAAACGGGCATTAATTTCCGGACAACCTAATAAATAAACGCATAAATGCGCATGACGCAGATTTTATTGAAGCTGCTGGTGCAAATTTTCAGTGCAATTCTGCTCTTCAAATTTTTGCGTATCACGTTGATGCACACTTCTTGCATCGAAAATAGAAAATACTTGTTTGAAAAGCTAAAAAATCATTCAATATATGACATCAAAGTTAGTGTTTTATAATACATTTTAGAAAATCGCCTGTGACAAAATCAGTAAGTCAAAACAAATGAATAAATACCAACATTTTCTTCAGAGAGAGAGAGAGAGAAAGAGAGAGAGAGAGATTCATGAAGCTGAGACCAAAAGTAAATTCAGACCTCAGTATACGTATAAGCAATCTTAGCGACCAAAATTCGAAAAATCACTTTTTAGATATTTTTAATGATCAGCTTGTATCCTGCCCTGTTCTGTAGCTTGTATATGTTAAAGAAGAATTTCGACGCAAGCGCATGCAAAAAGGCAAGATTACTTTTTTTCAGTATGCAAGCAAAGAATTTCATTGAGAAATAGTTACCTATAGTCAACATAAACCTTTGCTAATAATTACCAGCACATCTGTCTAACACCCAGCAATTTATAAAGCAACTGCGATGCATAGGTCTTAATCTGATAGTGTTATCAGCGTTCGACGTAACATCACTTCCACTAGCGTTTATGACAATGCCGCTCTGCACATTTCGGAATACAAATATCATTCCACCATGGCTATGTCTGGGTTAAGCAAAACCTGCATCTGACCATCATAAAGGCTCGCGCCTGTCCTGGCGATGTTTTATGAGTAAGATCGAGGAGGCAATGATAGCACGCTTGCCATCAATGTCTGTATATCGATGACTGCTTCATTGTCATCTCACACAACGAAATCATACCTTCCATAGTCTAGAGACAGAGCCTCTAAAGTGAAGATTGTTTGATTTTCTACATAAGAAATGAAGGTTGTTTGTATATCAGAGAAGAAGAAAATGCAAACAGTCAGTAGAAGCAAAATAAAACTCCTGATGAGCGGATAGAACGCTATAAATCTGAATTCTTTCAATTCGTGGCATTTCGAATTGCAGGTTTTCACTTCAGGACCAGGTAAGCAACACGGGTGGAAACGAGGAAAACTAATCTTTTCTTCGCGTTTATTCCACAAGCAACTATGTTTGGGAAGTAACGATTATCAAGAGAACATAAACAAGAAAAGAATCAGCTTTGAAAACGCAGAGTTTTATTCTCATCAGGTGGAAGTGCACTCAAAGCCAACTTACAAGGGAACCGTGTCGAGTCGAAGTGGCCTTTCTAGATGAGACCCACACTGCTTTGAAGAGTATTAAGCGGTGATTCCAAATCTGCCTTCCAAATCTGCCAAGCGCCTCTGGATGCCGAGTTATGACCGTTCTTCGGAACGAAAAATGAATGCAGAATTTAGGTAAATTTGATTGTTTCAATCTTTCCAGCGCTCAGATAAAGCAAAGTTAAGTATTAGCATATTAAATAAAATATATCCATTACATAAACAGCTCTGATACTTGACACTGGACCATTTGAGCAATTTTGGTCGATTTTGCCCCAGTTTTGCGTTCAATTTTTTGATCTGAAAAACGCCCACAACTCGGCGTCCAGAGGCGCTTGGCAGATTTAGAAAGCAGATTGGAATCACCGATTAATGCTCTTCAAAGCAGTATGGGTCTCATCTGGAAAGGCCACTTCGACTCGACACGGTTTCCTTGTTAGTTTTTGATGTGTCCTTTAGATTTTTACCCTCGCATTGTCGTTCCTGTTCTCTGGGACGTCGTCTAAACTAATGCACTCATTATTCCGAGCCTTAATTCTCCAAGTTGGAAAAAAATCGCTGCGAAAACATTGAAAGAGAACAAAGTTTAAAAAAGCGCACTTTTCACGATTTTTCACAAATGATTCTGCCATAATCGAAGAGGCGTTGGGTCGTTTTGTCTACATTATGAACAGAAGCAAGATCTACGAAAACGTGAAAAGAGCTGAGCTAGGGGAAAAACAAGAAATTTTCGAAAATACAGTTTTTCCCTATTTCTTGTTCAAATCAAAAAGTATGGCATGGGACGTTGTCAGTGTGAAAGTAGAGATCAAGAGCTTCAATTTGATTTACAGCTTGCTAAAATTGAGTTTGAAATAACGAAGGAAAGGGTATCAGAGCCAAATGCCTTGTGCCCCGCGTTTGGACAGCAAAATAGCGGGCAGCGCGTGGAGACGCGCTGCCCGCTATTTTGCAGATAAGAAAACCAGAGCCAACGGGGCATTTGGTCCTAGTCGTTCTCCTCTTGGTCTCAACAAAACGTCTGCAATATTAAAAATCATTTTTATCGTCATGACACGACGAGGAGCACTGGCAGTGTCCTAAGCGTAGAAAATCACTCATCAATGAGATATACTAGCATTTTCGTGCGCAACCGTCTGCGCAGGATTTGAGAGCAGTTCCTCTTCTTTATTAAACACCAACACCTTCCCTAAATCCGAAGCTCAATTTGAGTCAGATAAGAGGCTAAGTGGCAAATGTGTTTTGGTCTGAAAAAATGTTCACCAACCCTGTTTAGCGTAAAAAAGCCTAAGAAACGCAATTTCTTGGTTCTGCTGAGATAATCTAAACACATTATTTCATATATTTGCTTCATTGAAATTCGTTCCCAGGATTATAACATCCGGGGCAAAGCCACGGATAACCTTTGTTTTTTTCTAATGAAGCTTGTGTTCTAAGGCGCTCAGAGCAATAAATACATAATCCCGCGGTCATGACAAAAAAACTTCGGATGCGTAGAAAATGTTTGCGAGGCAATGACAACAAAACTCCCCTTTGCATGCTTTTTTGTTTGATAGATTTAGCAAGGCAATCGAACGATGCATATCACGAGCGCAGGTGGACAATGAAGTAATGCTGGTCAGCATTCAAAGCAGTAACGTCAGAAAGCGGTTGATCAGAAAAAGGTGTGTGACACAAATGCTTAACGGGCAACTGCATCGTTTGCCTATACTGAAACTTAGTGACTGCGCAAAAGAAGGTACTTTAACAAGTTAGAATGATTGGATCTTACTATAATATCTTTTGGTAACTGCCAAAGCGAT